AATCCCTGAAATAGACAAGTGGGATTACATCAGACTAAGAAGTTTCTGCATGGCAAAAGACACGGTAATTAGTGTGAATCAACAAACCTGAAAATGGGAAAATATTTTTTTAATTATGCATCATATAAATGACTTATAACCAGAATACACAGGGAACTCAAGCAGCTTTTTTGAGAAGATGTGATCAACCGTAATAAAAGATGGGAGAATGAGGTGAAAAGAACACGCCCTAAAGTTGACATACAAATAGCCAAAGGGCTTATGAAAAAATGCTCAACATCTCTCATCATAAGGGGAATGCAGATCAAACAAAAATGAGATACCACCTAACCCCAGTCAGAATGTCTAAGATTAAAAAATTAAAACAAGAAAATGGTAAGTGTCGGCTAGAGTGTGGTAAAAGGGGAACTCTCTTACACTGCTGGTGGGAATGTAAATTAGTCCAGCCACTGTAGAGAACAATTTGGAGATTCCTCAAAAATCTAAAAATAGAACTACCATATGATCCAGCAATCCCACTCCTTGGTATCTACCCAAAGAAAAGAAGAATTTTTAATCAGAAAAGTGCTTGCACATTGCTGTTTATTGTGACACAATTCACAATTGCTAAGACATGAAACCAACCCAGATGCCACAGAACAGATTAACAGATTGAAAAACTATGGCATATATACTCCATGGAATAAAATTCAGCCATAAAAAAACCAAAACCTGGCTTTTGACAGAAAGTAGAAAAATATGAAAGATTTACTGCTGAGTGAAGCAAACCAGACTATGAAGTGGAGACATTGTATGTCTCCACTTCATGTATACCGAGTGTCCACAGTCTATGACTGAAACTAATTGACTAATGGATGTACAAACACAGTAAATGGTTGTGAATACCAGATACAGTGTGTGGGAAAGTTTAGGGCCTGAGGAAGGACTTTTAGAAGAAAAATAAGAAGGCAAAACATTAATGGGACAAAGAAATGTGGTATTATGTGTTAAAGATATTTTATAGTTTTATCAACTGGACTGGGGAGAAATGTTCACATATTGAAATATTCACTTTGTAAACTAAATAATGTGAGTGAATGTATAAAAGAAAGTGAAATAAATAAAGAAAAATGATAATTGCTGGCTGGAGTGTGGTGAAACTCCCACACTGCTGATGGGAATGTAAATTGGTCCAGCCACTGTGGAGAACAGTATGAATTTCATCAAAGATCTACAAATAGAACTACCACATGATCCAGCAATCTCACTCCTTGGTATCTACCCAAAGGACAGATGCATCCTTAGATGTAAAAGTGCATGCATATCAAAGTTTATTTTGGCCTTATTCATAATTTCTATATCATAGAACCAACCCAATGTCCATTAACAGAGGAATGGATTGAGAAAGTGTGCCACATATACTATTTGGAATACTACTCAGCCATAAAAACAAGAAGACCCTGGCTTTGACAGAAAGAGGATGAATATGGAAGATTCACTGCTGAGTTAATCAAGCCAGGTTATGAAAGAGAGACATCGTATGTCTCCATTCAATATATTCTGAGTGTCTGAACTCCATGCTCCAAACTGAATGACTAGAGATATAGAAACCTAGAAAATGGCTATAGATACCAGGTACAGTTTGGGAAGAGGGTGGGAGAAGGAGGAGAAACTACGGATAAACATTAAGGAGAGAAATAGATAGGCAAGGCATTTATAGGGCAAAGAAATGGGTTATTATCTGTCAAAGATAATGTGTATAGTATTTCCACCTGGACTGGTGAAAAATATATTCATATATTCATGTTGAAATATTCACTTTACAAGCTACATGACATATGTAATTAAATGCATAAAAGAAATTAAAATAAAAATAAAAGAATTATAGTTTAAAAAGTAGTTACTATGCCACATGCTTCTATTAGTTAAAGTTGCCCAGCAGCTCCCCATAAGGGATACTCTTGTTTTATCACTAATTTCTTTGATAATTGCCTGTAAATTGGACTACAGAATATTATTTTGCATGACTTTGTTTTTGCATGTGAGCCCTAAGGATATAGTATTGGGGCTCATACTTACCATTTAAGAGTTTCCATAAATTAGGGAGCCCATAGGTTACCATATTCAGATTGTATGTTCAGCAATGAGTATCATGGGCCATTGCTTCACGGCCACCACAGATACCATTGGTCATATATTAAAATCCTTTTATAAAATTTTCTTCTTTTCACTTTTTATTTCATTTTCTTTTATACATTTAGTCACATTATTTAGGTTACAAAATGAATATTTCAACAGATGAACATTTCTCCCTAGTACAGTTGATAAAATTAGAAAATATCTTCAACAGATAATACCACGTTCCTTTTTATAATTTTTTTTGGAGAGGTTTTTGCTAGAGGGAAGGTGTGCTCACCAGATTGACAGGGAGACATAGAGATACGGAAATTGAGAAATCACCTCCCCCCCGGGGGGGGGATGGACACGCTGCAATCCCTTCTCCTCCATTCTCCTTTCAGGATTTTGGGCACACACACACACACAAGCCTGGTGTGAGTTTATGTCACTGGGTCCAAGACTCATACTGCAGTCTACTACATGGGAGTCCAGTGACATAGCCATTATGCCAACTGTTGGTTCCTATAAAATATACTTTAAAATAATTTATAATTCCCTCTCAGACCTTCTTCAATATAATTCATACCTTATGCAACAGGCTTTATACCTTGCTCATTTGTCCTCTTTTTAATTTTTTGCGTTTTGAAATGATCACCCATCTTGTAGGACAAAATTTTAACCATACAATACACTTCCTATATAAAATATCTTTTTTTTCCTTTTAATCTTTTTTTAACCAAAAATGCATCTTCATATCCATAGCTTTCTTTCCACATCTCTTTCCTACTTACTGTTTTCTTTCTACCTTGTTTCTCTTTCCTTTATATATTTATCTTAGTAATTATTAGCTACCTCCAAGACAGGAAATATTATTTTTAAGGAACATATTTGTTTATCATTTTAAGGATTTCCTTAGGCTTCATTAAATGTCAAAGCCTCCCTCTTTCTTTCTCCAGAGTGAGGAATCTGACACATCAGAAAGACCATCTAGTTTGTAACTTGATATGTAGGACTCTACATATTGTTAAGCTCTTAGGAGTAGTAGCTTTTAGTACATACCAGCCACTTATGGATATGTATTTTACAAACAAACAAAAACTGTCTAAGATATTTCCTGAAAAAGAACAAAACAATCTTACTAATAGATTTAATATTTTCCATTTTGTAAAATTTAAAAGACTGCCAATAGGAATAACTAAAGCATGGGATTTTGTTAAAACATTTTTTTGCTTTGGGTTAATTTTCATCCTGCCTAATGGTTGGCTTAGCAGTTCAGAAAAGCAATCAGCTTATCTATAGAAACTGGAAATTTGTTGTCCATCTATAGCCCACTTCCCAGCAAGGGACATAGAGGCTGGGGCACGACTGCCCACCAGCCCACACCAGGCTCCCAAGACTAGGACCTCACCTTCTTTAAAGGTAGGCAGGGGCTCATTTTTTCCATTTTTTTCTTCTTTGCTATTTCTTTTTGATTTGCTAATTCTCTCCTCCCCCTTGTCCCACAGACCAGACAGGTCCTTGCCCTGCAGGAGTTCTCCTGTTCCATCTATAGCCCACTGGTGAAATCTTGCACCGTGCTACCACATGGCACACAACTTCTTTTTTAATCTCTTCTGTACTCTTTTCTTTCCTCTTACATTATCCTCTCTTCTTCATCCTCCACTCTTCCTGAGGGATTTATTTGACAGATCTCAAATTCCAGTTCTGAACTTGCATAGTATATTG